ATATTACACATTCTATTGTTTATAATATAAGTGTATTACAAAGTATTATATTTACGATTTTATTTTACATAATTTTTTTTATAAAATAGTATAAAAGTATATAATTTTGTTTTTAAAAATATATGGATGTGGGGATGGGGCGGGTACGAAGTGGGGTGGGTGGAGATGGAGCGGGTACGAAGTGGGGTGGGTGGGGATGGAGCGGGTACGAAGTGGGACGGGTGGGGCGGATAAACCTAAAATCCACCCCGCCTCATCACCCATGGCGGGTATGGTTTTTATCTCCATCCCCGCCCCATCACCCGCCAAACCAAGATTCATCCCCGCCCCAACGCAGCTCTCTTATTTGACCCGCCCCAACGCGGGTCTCTTATTTGACCCGCCCCACTGACATCCCTAGATATGTGCTTTATAAGTGGGTAAAAGACACTTGTAATTTGAAAAAAACAAAAAAAAAAAAAAAAAAAAAAGGTAGAGAAACAGAGTGTAATTGGATAGAGTTGACATATTTTGACTCATATAGTATAAGCTACTCCGTATAAAATTAAATGCTTGTTGTTACTTTATTTTTCTTAAATAAATAAATAAATATCTGGACTAATAGATTTAGAATACTTTTTTTTATTTTTAACTAGTAGATATACAAACCAACAGAGTTGTTTTTTTTTTTTTTTAAGGAACATACCAACATAGTATGACTATGGGCCGTTACTGTTAACTTAGTGAAGTATAACTTGAGGTTCAGGTTCAATGCATAATAATTCATTGAGGCTCAGGTTCAAGGCATAATTACTTAAGTGGGGTCCAGAAAAGCTGTGATGCATTTATAAATCTATGTGGTCATTAGTTCTTCTTATTAACCACAACTAATTATTTGCGGTTGAGGTTCACGTTGAAGTTGATAGTTGTGATAATTTCTTGATGGAATCTTAAAGCTGCAACTACTGAGTAGTATTTATCTTCTCTCTTTGTTCCTTTATTTCCCAGTTTATATTTCTGTAGTTTGAAATTAAAATTAAAAGAGGTGGTTTTTGGTGTTCTTGTTGAAGCTAAGGAAATGATAACTTGCGGAGAAGTAGATTCTAAAGGTCACTTGGAATTGAGGGAGGATCCAGAGGCATGGATTAAAAATAACCCTCCTTCTCGTCTAGCCTTGCGTTGTTATGAAAAGGAAGAGGTAGGAGAATCAATAGGTGAGCTCACACAGCTCATCCGCCTGGAATTCTTGTACTGTGATTCCCTGAAATGTGTGTCTAACACCATCACTAGGCTTCACAAATTGGAGCACTTGCAATTTTATAAGTGTTATTGTTTGGAAGAATTGCCGGCAAATATAGGGCAGTTGGTGAGCCTTACTCATCTCAAGCTTGATTATTGCGAGAACATAAAGTTCCTTCCTGATAGCATTGTAAATCTATCCAATTTGACTTATTTAACTCTCTCTTCCTGTGATTCCCTTGTTGAATTGCCGGCAAATATAGGGCAGTTGGTGAGCCTTACCCATCTCAAACTTAAATATTGCAAGAACATAAAGTCACTTCCTTTGAGCATTGCAAATCTATCCAATTTGACATCTTTATCTCTCTTTTCCTGTGAGTCCCTGGTTGAATTGCCGGCAAATTTGGATGGGTTGGCCCATTTATGTCTTCTTGATATTCAATCATCCAAAATCAAGTGTCTTCCTTGGAGCATCACGAAGCTACGCAAACTCCGACATCTAATGTTGCCCGAACATTTCAGACTCGAAACGTTGCCATATGACTTGAATCATTCGGTCATCATTTCTGTTAAAGATAGGCATGTTCGCAAATCCTGGGAGGAACTTAAAACAGAGATAGGAGAATTGCCCATTCCTTTTGGTGGAGGTAAGTTTACATTGCCAATGCTTTTACTTTTACAGTTTTACTCCAAATTTGTTTGTTCTAGTTGACGTGGTAGTTATACTATGTAATAATCAAGCTTATCTCTTCTCTCCCCTCCTACAATGGCAGAAATAAGAAATGATGCAGCTCAAAATCCCTCTATCATATCTCCTCCTGGTTATCTCCGATTGAAGGAGGATGATCCTTCGCAATGGATTATTAATAACAGAAATTTACTCATGTTGGTTCGATTTTTGGACTTGGAAAATGTTAAGGAGTTAACAGATTCCATAATGCAATTCAGTGAGCTCACCCACCTCTATCTCTACTTCACTGATCATATTTGCCTCCCGGATAACTACTTTGTCACATTCACAAGGCTTACACATCTCTCTCTCGACTCTTCTGATGTTGAAATTGATGAGTCCGTTATTCACAGCTTAAGCAAGCTATCCAATTTACAAACACTACATCTGCGATTATCCATTTATGATAGCTTGGAAAATTTTAATATGCCTGTCAGCCTCAAACATCTCTCTTTATCATCTTGCAATATGAGGCCACTTTATGATAGCTTGGAAAAGTTAACTAACTTAAGGAGTCTGGATCTCAATTCCTGTGATTATTGCGAGTCATTGCCACCATGTATGTATATTCACAAACTCAGGCTTGTGGATTGCTCCTTCGAGTCACTTGACTCACTTCCTATTGGCCTACATCACCTGGAAATTTTGTTTTTCAAAGATTATAATGACCTGAGATGTATCTTTGAAAAATGTTGGAATAAATTAGTCAACCTGGAGACACTCTCCATTACATGTTCTAAAATGGAGTTCTTTCCTGAAGATATAGCAAGACTCCACAACTTGCAAGAATTACAACTCAAAGACTGTATCAGCCTCGAAAAACTACCATCAAATCTACATGAGTTAGTCAATTTGCATACTCTTGATATCAGCGTCACCAGAATCAAGACCCTTCCTCCTAGTTTTGTGAAGCTGCGCAATCTACTACACTTAATCCTCCCCAAGTGTTTTAACTTTGAAAGATTGCCAAGGAATCTGAAGCAAGTGTCCATCATCGATGACACAGAAGAAGCATACTACAAGAGCAACGCCTATGATGCTTCCCTTTACCAAGCCTCAGCCTCCGATGAAAGCGAAGATGAAGTAACTGTTGTTCCTAGAGGTAATTAAATGTTGCCAGTAATTCATATGTCATAACTTGCATTTTTTTTATCATCATTGATGACACGGATGATGCATACTTCACACATATGAATAACTCTCGTATCAAAATGCCAACAGTAGAAATTCATGAAACTGTCCCTGATGAGCAGACATCAGCAGATCCTTTCAACAGTATAAGTATGGGCTCTATTGAGCACATAACAACAGCACAAGGTGGTATTGAGCAAGATAATGGTGAGAACAGTCATCATGATTTAGAAAATGGGCAGAAACAGGTCCCTCAACACAATAAGGTGGAGAGAAATAGTAGAATTGAAATATCTGAAGAGAAGCTACAACAATGTTGGTCCGAAAACCCGATGTCACTACAAGAAACTGCAGAAAAAATATTTGGAGGTATCATGATCGCATTTTGTTTGTATTAGAATTGTTAATTATCTGAGACCTGCATTTACATACTCTTGCCAAAATCTGTTTATTCATTGAAGTTTTAATTTCTATTGATGCCACTGATATTTCAAAAGGAATAATAATGCTGTATTCAATGCAAAACTTCAATTGAGAACTTTTTCCTAGAGCAAAACTATTAAAACATTGAGTAATGTTGTGCCATGTGCGGAGTAACATAAATTTACATCATGGACACTACACAATTTTTTTTTTTTTTTGGTTGATAAAAATGGAAACTAAGCAAATTTAGATGTTCATGTGAAATTTTGATCCCTGCCTTTTAATAATTTCAAGCAAACTCTTATTTACAATGTGCGAACCTCTAATTATATATGTTTGCTTACTTAATTGTCTTCATTGATGTTAATTGTCTCTTTGAACTTTTATAAATAGTGTGGTCACATTTATACTCGTGAAAATATTTGTTTACCTATATTCCCTAATTAATGTTAATGGTCCATAACTAAATTTGTGGTTATGACTTTATAAGGATGGTTTTTGAAAATTAATTTATCATTAAGACTGAGATAGACATCCTGTCATCCCGATGATTTCCATAAAAAAATTAACTGCTTGAGCTTCTTTATCATACTTGACTTCAATTTGCAGTATCATACTTGGCTTTTCTAAATGATTAATCATACTTGACTTCAATTTGCAGTATCGAGGTCTACATTGAAACGAACAATAAAAGAATTGGGTGTCGAGAAGTGGCCAAGAAAAGGAAGAAAACAACAGCCTGATGCAAAGAAGAGGAAAACAAACAATACAGCACCATTTGAAAGTTATTGCTCACAACAGAATGTGGTGAACCTAGGTAGTTCAGCAGCTCACACGGAAAATGTGCAGTGTATAATGGGATCAGACCTGCATTTGGAAGAGCCCTTAATTGAAAGCCATATGGATATCCAGCAACAAGTCCAAGGGCATCTGGAAGGCGCTCTTCATACAACTGAAAGTTCAGGCACAATTGTTGTAAAAGCCACTTACAAGGAGCTTTCAGTGAGAATTGTTTTCTCTTTGACTTTACCGATTAATCAACTAATTGAAGAAATAGGCATGAAGTTCCAACTTGAGTTGAACAAATATAGATTGCTTTATCAAGATGAAGATAAAGAGTGGATGATGCTGACTAGTGTGGAAGATTTGAAGTATGCTTCGAATGTTGCTGAATCATTGGGAACCAAGTTTGTTAGATTGTCTGTTATTGACTATGTTGTTTAATAATGTGCTTCCATTTATTTGAGTGATTTAAGTGTAACACTCCAAAGTTGACCTAAGTATTGTAGAGATGTTTGTCTGTTATGAACAAAAAATTGTCGTGATGTAACTCAATAACTTTACTGCTCTACTGAATAATACCAGTACATGAATATTTTTATTTTTTGTGATGGAACAAGAACTTTGTGATAAATTTTTAGATGTTCATTATGTGAAATTTTGATCCCTGCCTTTTAAAAATTTCAAGCAAACTCTTATTAACAATGTGCGAACCTCTAATTATATATGTTTGCTTACTTAATTGTCTTCATTGATGTTAATTGTCTCTTTGAACTTTTATAAATAGTGTGGTCACATTTATACTCGTGAAAATATTTGTTTACCTATATTCCCTAATTAATGTTAATGGTCCATAACTAAATTTGTGGTTATGACTTTATAAGGATGGTTTTTGAAAATTAATTTATCATTAAGACTGAGATAGACATCCTGTCATCCCGATGATTACCATAAAAAAATTAACTGCTTGAGCTTCTTTATCATACTTGACCACAATATGCAGTCTCGAGGTCTACAATGAAGCGAAGATTGAAAGAATTGAAGCTGTTGTGGCCATCAAGCAAAAAAGGAAAGCAACATCTTGATGATGCAAAGAAGAGGAAACATAATAGTAAAGCACCATTTGGTAGTGATTCCACACAGCAGAATTTGGTGATTCCTACTAATTCAACAGCTCAAGCGAAAATTGTTGGGGGCCGTATAATAGGAGCAAACCAGCTTACGTTGCCAAATCATGTATCATCCAACTCTGATGTTGTTGGCAACTTGGCCCCGGACACAATAGTGGAAAACGTTAGAGGGAACTTAATGGATACTCAAGGCAATATGGATTGTCAGCATGGCGAAGAGCATTATCTGGATGGTGCAAATGACCAAGGGCATTTGGAGGGCGCTCTTCATTCAACTGAATGTAATCGCGCTGCGACACTAGAAGAAACTTTCGATCCAATGGTAATTGAAAGCCATATGGATACCCATCAACAAGCTCAAGGGCATTTGGAGGGTGCTCTTCATTCAACTGAAAGTAATCGCGCTGCAACACTAGAAGAAACTTTCGACCCAATGGTAATTGGAAGCCATATGGATATCCAGCAACAAGTCCAAGGGCATCTAGAAGGCGCTCTTCATACAACTGAAAGTTCAGGCACTATTGTTGTAAAAGCCACTTACAAGGAGCATTCAGTGAGAATTGTATTCTCTTTGACTTTACCGATTAATCAACTAATTGAAGAAACAGGCATGAAGTTCCAACTTGCTTTGAACAAATATAGATTGTTTTATCAAGATGAAGATAAAGCGTGGATGATGCTGACTAGTGTGGAAGATTTGAAGTATGCTTCGAATGTTGCTGAATCATTGGGAACCAAGTTTGTTAGATTGTCTGTTATTGACTATGTTGTTTAATACTGTAAAACTATTGCTTATAGTTGACATATTTTGACTCATGTAATTAAATGTTGTTACTCCGTGTTACTTTTTCCCTTCTTAAAAGTAGGAATAGTAATGTGAGGATTAATAAGAGAGAAGTAAAAGGAGGGAAGAAAATAAGATTTCCATTATTTTCTAAAGGAAAATATTTTCCACCGTATGTATTTAGAGAGTGATGAAATGGGAGATATCATAAAAGTATAAATCTTATGAATATAGAGAGATAAAATAAATATTACGAAGTACAAGCTTAGAGAATCAGAGTGTAGAGGAAAATGAGTCTTGTTATTCTCACACAAAGATGTTAATTATGGGTCAGGTCATTTCTGGTTGTTTTGTGTTTTGAGTCTGTAGGGTTAAGATCGGGTTGCGTCACTTTGGGTTTCGGGTCGCTTTGGGTATCGAGTTAATTTGGGTATAAGATCAATTTCGGGTTAACATTTTTGGGTTAATTTCGGGTCATGGATCGGGTTAGGATTGCCGGGTCAATGTCGGGTGAATGGGTAATTATTTAGTGAGGTCCAAGTTTTTTTTATTTTTTTTTTATTTTTCAAGGTTCAGGTTCAATACACAACTAGTTTTTATTTCATTATTTTTTTTTTTTAAGAAAATAAGGTTCAGGTTCAATATACTTCGTACAACTTAGTGAACTAGGGTTGATTGTGGGGTCCAGAATAGCTGTGCTGCATTATTAATCTGATAATCTCTATGGGTTGTTCATCAATCCCTATCCACCTCACTTTTTTTTTTTTTTTTTTTTTTTTGGGGGGGGGGGGGGGCGGTGGGAAGAAATAGGAGAATAATGTAGGTTCAGGCTCAAAGTTTTTATAAATTGGTAGCTGCTTCTCAATTCTCATATACTAGTACAGTACGTATTCAATATTTCATTCAAATCCTGAAAGTTAGAGTATCCCTGCTATACAAAGTGACTCTTGCAACTATGGAAAGTGAACAAGGAAATTATGAGCATGAGCAGAACCAAACCCTTCAAAATGACATCAAGGGTTACAAAAGAAAAGAAATTTCACTAGAGACGCTTCAATCATTTTGGTCCAAAAAATATGACATTCCAAGAAGCTGCAGAACAAGTTGGAGGTATGTTACTTTATGATTAAAAATTTTGGTCCTAGAACAAATTTATGTTATGTGCTTTTAATTCCATGAATTTGTTCAGCAAATTGTAGTTAAATAAAAATAGTTTATGTTTTGATTCTTGGTCTTTCTTAAATGACCACAATTTGCAGTCTCGAGGTGTACAATGAAGCGAAGATTGACAGAATTGAAGCTGGTGTGGCCATCAAGCAAAAAAGGAAGCAACATCTTGATGATGATGCAAAGAAGAGGAAACACGATAGTAAAGCACCATTTGGAAGTGATTCCACAACACATCAGAATTTGGTGAATCCTTCTAATTCAACTGCTCACGCGGATATTGTGGGGAAGGGTATAACTGGATGCGACCGGCATATGTTGCCAAATCATGTATCATCCAACTCCAACGCTGTTGGCAACTTGACCATGGACACAAGAGTGGAAAACGTTAGGGAGAACTTAATGGATAATCAACGTTCTGAAGAGCATTAGAATGGATGATGCTGACTAGTGGAAGATTTGAAGTATGCTTCGAATGTTGCAATCATTAGAAACCAAGTTTGCTAGATTGTCTGTTATTGACTATGTTCTTTAATAATACTAGTGCTTATACTGGCTTAAGTCAGTTAACATTTGTGCTCTGGACTAGCAAAGAGTATGACTATGGGCCGTTTATTTAGGCCCCGGTTGATTGTTTTCAATAAAACATTAGTTTTCATGAACATATAGTTTCTAGGAAAACCACAACTATAAATTAGTTCTCCTGATTAAATAATTTCCTGCTGAAATATTTTTCTTTCGAAAATTCTAAACCTGGGCATCGTGCCGGGCCGGGCCGCCGCGGGCACGTGCTCCGGCGTGCCGTGCCGATCGTGCCGCCGTGCCCAGGAAGTCGTGTCGTGCCGTGCTGGCCATTCTCACAGGCCAACCCACGGCCTGGCACGGCCCTCATGCCTGGCGGGCTCGTGCCGTGCCGGCCACGTGCCAGCCTGGCGGGCCGGCAGCGGGCTGGCAGTTTCCAACCTTTTTTTTTTTTTATTTTTTTTTTTAAAAAAAGTGACAACATTATAACTTATATTATAATGTATATAAGTTATAAAATTATAATTATAATTATAATTTTTATAAGTTATAAGGTTATAAGTTTTATAATTATAAGTTGAATATTTATGTTTTATAATTTTATATATTCAATATTTATATTTATATATTTACTCTATACTATTACTTTAAAATTTAATGTTTATGATTTATTAAATATAATTTTGTATTAGTAATTGGTATAATTTTATTTTTTTTAATACGAATTTACAAATTATAACAAAACGGGGAAAAAAGGCAAATTGGGCTTGGATGTGAATAATGCGTACTTCATATTATTATTACTTGAGTTGAGAAAATTGTACAATGATAAAAATCGTACAATGATGGTATTAAACAAAAATTGGAAAATGATAATATTGATAATGATTAAAATCGTACAATATACAAAAATTGTTTATTCTTCTTCTTGCTCGTCTTCGTCGTCGGCTTCGGCTTCGGCTTCATCGGCTAGTTGGATAGATTGGGAACTAGCTGAACCCGAACGGTCGGAAGCGGAGGTTCCTTCATCGTTGTCGTTGTCCTCGTAAGAACGGTCTTGTGAGCGATTTTCCGCATCCAACCAATCTTTGAAACACACGCACATTTCTAGTATTTCGGGTTTTAGACTTGTTATTTTATCGTCCAGAACCCTTCCGGATGCGCTGAAAGCTCATTCGGAGGCAACAGAGGAGACTTGGATACCAAGAATGTCTCGTGCCATTGCCGCCAAAGTTGGATGCTTCGTGCTTTGTTGTTTCCACCATGCAAGGAGGTCGAGGCTGTTAATCTCATCGTCGTCCATGCCTTTGGTGAAGTCATAACTCAGGTACATCTGCAACTCCGAGACGTCGCTTTGCGTTCTCCTGATTGATGAATCACCTGAAAACCTTGAAATTAAGTTAGTAGCCTGTGAAAATAAATGTTTGGCCTTCTTACTTACGTTTTTGGATGGTTGGGAAGGCCCTGAGCGAGGAGCGGTGCCATATTTGCTTTCATAGACTCCATATAAAGCAAAAAACTGATCCTTCACAATACTCTTATACGTTTCTACATCATCGTCAAGATTCAGGCATTGAAAATAAATGTCAACTAACATAAATGTGTTTTCATACTTTTGCCTAGGATCTAATATGGAAGCAAAAATATAAATCAAAGGAATTTCACTATAATATTTACGCCACTTTGTTTCCATTGCTGGAAGATACTGATCATAATCACTTTGGTTGCGATGATCAGCGAAAAGTTGGGCGAGTAAACATGCATTAGAAAGAAAGTTTTGAGCACAAGGACTGTAAACAGAAGAAAAACAATACGTCATGTTATATAATAACTGTAAAAATTGCATATATCTTTCACAGTTATACCAATCATCATCATATAAAGCATTTTGTGGAAATTTTTGGTTGTAAAATATTGTTAACGGGCCCTTGTACTCAATTGTCTTAGTTAACATGTCATAGGTGGAATTCCACCTAGTTGGGCAATCGGTTTTGATTTTTATTGCCCTTATCTTTTGCTGTCTTAGAAAAGTCTTCCATTCTTGGTACCTCATGTTTGAGCTATTAATAGACATAATAGCATCTCTGATTTTGTTGTAGTATGGGCCAATTGCCCGAACTCCATCCTGTACACATAAGTTAAGTACATGGCAAACACATCTAGTATGAAGAGCATCACCGTCTAATATTACATCGGTTAAGTTTTGTTTGACAAGATTAGCTGTGTATGTCATAGAGGTTGCATTGTCAAAAGTCATAGACATCATTTTATCTCGAAGGTTGTATTCGTCTATTGCTTGCATTAAATGGTGAGCAATGTTAATGCCGGTGTGTGGGTATTCCAGCATTTTGAAATGTATTATTCTTTTTTGTAACAACCATTGATCATCTACCCAATGGCAAGTCACACATAAATAGTGATATTTATAACCATTATCCCAAGAATCGGCTGTCAAAGACACTCTACAGTTAAGGTTACTCAATTCGGCTTGTAACCGCAATTTGTACTCTAGGTAGTTTTTCATGGCGGCGGAACGAACGGTTTTCCTAGATATTCTTTTATGTTGGGGTTGTAGTGCTTTGTTAATGTAGGTGTTAAATGGGTCACTTTCCGAGAAAAGAAAAGGTTGTTCGGCGTGTACTATCATTTTCCCTAGTTCATCCCTATCCCTCTCATAGTTGTAGGTGAAGCCGTGTGGATGGTATTGGGAAATTTTTGGTTGGGTCGGATCAATAGCTGGTTTTGCACAAGCTTTCATGTGTCTAGTTAGGTGTCCCGTCCCGGATTTGGATAGTGCCGTGAATACACCATTACATGTTTTACATTTTGCATATGTTTGGTTGGGTTTATTTAGGACGAAATGACGCCATAACCTCACTCCTTCGGTTTTTTCAAAAGTACCATCTCACTTTCGCTGAACCATTCATGATGTGTGTTTGGGTTAGTAGTAACAGAAGGGGTAGAACCGGAGGGAATTTGGGTACTTTCTTGGCTACTTTGGCTAGAATAATAGTTTTGTTGATCACCAAAATAATTAGGCGGGAATTGACCGAATTGTGGGAATTGTTGTGGATTTTGAAATTGGTTTGATGGTGAAAATTGGTTTGGTGGTGGTGGTGGAAATCCCGACATATAATAGGGTTGAAAACCGGAACTACCATCGTGCCTAAATGGCTCATAGCCCGGGGGGGAGTAACCGGGGTCATTGGTTGGACTCGGAATTTGGGGGCTCGTTGTATTAGGTGGTTCTCTAGAGCTACTACTACGGCCAAGT